GCCAGAAGATAGAGATGCCAGAAGATATGCCAGAAGATATGCCAGAAGATATATGCCAGATAGAATGCCAGAAGATATGTCCAGAAGATATGCCAGATAGAATGCCAGAAGATGCCATAGAATGCCAGATAGTCAGATAGAATGCCAGAAGATATGCCAGATAGAATATGCCAGATAGAATTTGCCAGAAGATATGCCAGATAGAATGCCAGAAGATATGCCAGATAGAATGCCAGAAGATATGTCAGATAGAATGCCAGAAGATTTGCCAGTAAGAAGATGTAAAAATGTCACGGTGGGGATCACACGAAGTAAAGTAATTCTTTTTGCTGTGACACATGTCTGCTGTGAATGCGCTAGCTCCATTTTGGGCAGGTAGTGTTTTTGACCGACTGGTGAATGTGCAACCTGCCAGGGTCTCAATGGGTCTCAGCTAATTAATGGACAAGCAAGCAGATTAGGCTTGAAGGAAGGACTGGGCTGGTAGTACTCAAATGTCACAAACTCTTTCTTATTGGTCAGCAGCGCTAGAGGAAGTCAGGTTGAGGGAATTATGGCCTTGCTACAAGTCAAGAGCGCAAGACGTCAGAATTTGTAATTTATCTTCGTCACATTCCCGACCTTCTACCGGTTCATACAAACAGCCTACCAAAATAAGAACTTATATTTACATGATTTTGCATTTTGTTTGGCAAGACAGCCTCGTCAGTTTCTATTATGCGACCCACCGCATACCTAACAGCCCGCCTACCCAACCAACCATGCATCCATCCCAAGATAACGGCGCTGAGGACTGCAGCCATTGTGAGTCTGGCAGTGAGATGAAAGAATTGACTTCAAGCCTGCAAATCAACTTCATGTTGAACCTATTCGATCCTGATATACAACATGTGAACTGCAGATGGTAACATCCTGCCTCAGGACAGGTCATAATTTCTAAGCACAAAAAAAAGGCTCGACAAGTCAAGATGCAGAAACATTACTCATCACCTTACTGAGTTCATCTCACTCTAAATTTTTGAACCGTTCGACAGGGTGTAGATCTACTAGCTTTGTGCTGTTTAGATCTGGTTTTCGAAGCCTCGGCCACCTCAGCTGCTTCACAGCCTGGAGATTCCGGGAAGGCAAAAAAAGGGTGACCGTACAATGTGTTTTGTTTTGGCTTTCCAACCTTGCATTGGTTGTACTTGGGCTTTGTTGCACATGTTTTCGACGAATGTAATGGCTGCTTGATTGATAAGTTTCTCTCTTGTCAGCATAGTCAGACTTTCGATGAAGTAGATGCTGGTCACTTCGCAGTTTGTTCCAGTAACCATCATTCACATGTGACCCTCGCAAGTAGGTTTTGTAAGACGGGCTGGTGGTTCAGTGAAATAGTGGGTATGATATCCCAAAAGTGAATTGCTTTGATCATTTTTTCCGTGGTAAATTCAGGTAGGGGACGCTGTCAAGGTCACAAGAATTTTGCTTTCCCTTGCAAACTCTTGTTAGTGGCTGTTCCCTTGCCAGCCCCTTGATTGTCCATAGTTTTGTCACTTCTGATTTAAAGAGCATAGATTGAATTGGCTTGATCTTGAAGAGACATTAGCAATGACTTAAGAACAGTCATGCCTGTCTACTATAGGTTGCTGACAATATATGTCTAGTACTGGCAACTTATGGCCTTTGCACACCGAACACGCTTGTGACGGGCGAGCACTCGCTTGTGCACTCGTGATTTGCCTCGCTTGTGCACTTGCAATCTTCCTCGCTTGTGCACTTACGATCTTGTGGTCAATCATATTCGGGTTCAAGACTCCTGTGCCACGGGGCACAGCCACGCTTTGGTTTTAAAGGGACGCAGCACCTTTTCTCTGCAAGCTATGCAAGCAATTCTTGAGCCACGGAGTGGCAGTGGGAATGAATTCATCGGGCTCATGTCATATATGCCAATACTATACATGCATTGTGTAAACACGTGTGCCAAAATTTACATCACCCCCCCGACCCTCCCCCCTTCCCCTCCTTTCCCAATGCGATCCCCACCCCTCGCCCTTCCCCCTCCTTGTTCCCAATGCGACCCATCCCTCCCCTTGGCAATGCGACCCCTCCCCCACTTGTTCCCAATGCAACCCCAATGCCCCCCCACCCTCCACCTTTTCCCTATGCGACCCGCTCCCCCACCCCCCACCCCTTGTTCCCAATGCCCCCCTTCCCCTTGTCCCCTATGCCCCACCCCTCTCCCCTGGTTCCCTATGCGACCTCTCCACCCCTCCCCTTGCCCCCTATGCCCCGCCCCCCCCCTTCCCCGTTTCCCTATGCGACCACATCCCCCAAACCCCCCCCACCCCCCTTTGTTCCCTATGCGACCCCCCCCCCACCCCCCTCCCCTTGTTCCCTATGCGACCCCTTCCCCATAAGTGCGCAAGTGAGTGAAATTTTGTGGTTAAGTGCGCAAGTGAGGGTAAGTGCGCAAGTGAGTGAAATCTTAAGTGCGCAAGTGAAGGCTTTGCCCTTGGGACTCATCGAATTGGTATCTCAATTCCATCATCAGCATGCTGACAAGCAAATCACGATGCCGTTTGACATGCATGCAGTTGTATTTGATGATATTCATCAGTGTTGCCACCAATGAACGTCGTGCACCAATGCAATTGATCAACCTGCGCCAAAACCAGTGCACACAACTATGGGAATTACATAGCCAGTAATTCAGTGAATCAGCCGGACTGGTAGAGTGAGTCGCCGCCGCGAAAGCAGAAAGGGGGCCCCAGCTTAGCAGCCTGACAACTTGTTTGCAAGTGTTGGCTGATGGCGGTGGATCGTTTCTCTGTCTGCTTCTACCATCATGGGTGATGCTTCCAATGACAGTAAAATTAAAGAATAGTCATGTCCTGGGTGTATCTGAGTCAATCGCTGACAGCATGACGCAACCCCATCTTTGTGATCACTTGGAACCATGACCGCGGAATCATTGCGCGGATGATGGTGAATCATAAAAACGAAACGACAGGTACAACTTTTAATCGTCACTTTCAAGTAAATGGCGAGCATGGACTGACAACCACGCCAAAAGTTAAATGTTGTCAACTAAAAATGTTTCTGGCACATTGCTAGTGGTTAAAGCCACCATTCATTGACCCACGCACTTTCTTTTCCAGAATTAAAACTAAGTCTTGGGCATCGTCACCACGAACCAACAATGCAAACATCCTGCAATTTCTCGATGGTTTGACTACCAGCTTCTGTTGCTTATGTTCGGCAATTCAGAGCAGCTACTAGTGCGCCTCCATTGTTTTCTCTTAGAATCATTGTGAATATGATGCCCAGCTATAAGATTTATGTGCACGCTGCTTTGAGGTGTACTAATAAGAATCATGATGATAAAAACAATAGTAGAAACATCATTCGTTTCTCTGCAACTGTGGCACCTGGTTTTCACATTTTCTGCTAATATTTTTCAAACCCCCCGAAAGGAATACCGAGTATGGTTGAACAGTCTTGAGTGAAAAGTATATGGGTGAGAAGTATATGGGTGAAAGACGGTGGGTGAAAGGTTTGTGGGTGAAGAGTATATGGGTGAAAAGTCTATGGGTAAAAAGCCTGTGGAAAAAGAGGCGCTCGGTGAAGAGTCTCTGGGTGAAAAGTATATATGTGAAAAGTATGTGGCTAAAAAGTCTGTGGGTGAAAAGTTTGCGGGTAATAAGTCTGTGGGTGAAAAGTGTGGGCGAGAAGTTTTTGGTTGAACTCAACGGTTGAACAGTCTGTGGGTGAACAGTGTGTGGGTGAAAAGTCTGTGGGTCAAAAGTATATGGGTGAAACAGCTATGGGTGAAAGTCTGCCGGTGAAAAGTCTGTGGGTGAAAAGTCTGTGGGTCAAAAGCCTATGGGTTAAAAATAATTATATGGTGAAAAGTTAGTTTCTGGGCAACAAGTGCATCGGTGAAACGTATATGGAGGAAGAAAAGTATATGGGGCAAATGATCTGGAGCAAAAAATATATTGGTGAAGAGTCTCTGGCTGAAAAGTATATGGTTGAACAGTCTGTGGGTGAAAACTATTTGGGTGAGAAGTATATGGGTGAAAGACTGTGGGTGAAAAGTCCCTGGGTGAAAAGTATACGGGTGAAAAGTCTGTGGGTGAAAGACGGTGGGTGAAAAGTCTGAGGTGCAAAGTCTGCCGGTGAAAAGTCTGTGGGCGAAAAGTGTATGGGTGAAAGTCTGTGGGTGAAAAGTATACGGTTGAACAGTCTTGGGTGAAAAGTATATGGGTGAGAAGTGTATGGGTGAAAAGGATGCGGGTGAAAAGTCTGTGGAAAAAGAGTTTCTGGGTGAAGATTCTCTGGGTGAAGAGTATGTGGCTGAAAAGCCTGTGGGTGAAAAGTCTTTTAGTGAAAAGTCAGTGCAAGAAGAGTCTCTGGGTGAAGAGTCTCTGGGGGAAAAGTCTGTGGGTGAAAAGTATATGGGGGAAAAGTCTGTGGGTGAGAAGTATATGGTTGAACCGTTTGTGGGTGAAAAGTGTATGGGTGAGAAGTATATGGGTGAAAGACTCTGTGGGTGAAGAGTATATGGGTGAAAAATCGGGTGGTTAAAAATCTATGGGGGAAAATAGGGGTAGATGGGCTGCTGGCTTTCGTTCCACCCTCCTCAGGTATGTATATATTATGTTTTATATATGTGTAAAGATACATCTTTTTTATGTACAGAGATATGTAATGGTATGTATCAGTTGATATGGAATACGGTTCTCATAGGATTTAAACCTGAAAAATATTGAGACATGGGGATCTAATGGAGTCTAAGGTATAATGTGATCATCCCACGGTCCTAGTCACTGGTTGAGGTAGAACGGGTATCCAATGGGACTATAATCGCTTTAATCATCCCACGAAACTATTGAAACTGGTTAATGAGCACAGTTGTAGCCCATATATACCCGAAGTCTATATTAATTTTGGACTTTCGTACGATCACGTGTGCCAGTCACTGATCCAGTGGTGAGATCCTCAGCCTCAGCACTGAGGTTTTAATCGGTTTAATCAGAACAATGGTCGCTTGACGGTGAATTGGCAAGTGCTGGAAGATGGTGGCACCAGGCAAGGGGCAGTGGTGATGGCTCTGTGATTTTATTTGGTGTGTGTGTGTTTGTTCACCTACAGGTTAGATACCTGTAGCACGAGCCTTACATGATATGTTTAAATTAATAAACAAAAATTAGTTGGAAACAGATTCCAACTCTATTGATTCCTTTGATTCCTTATCCCCCGAGACGCCAACAGTGGACAGTGAAACTCACTATGTTCAACTGGCATTGGAGGTGGGGGATAACCCGAAGGACCAACAATGATTTACGGAAGTTGTTCAAATCTGAAGGTCTTTGCTGGGTACTCAGCCCACGTTTTGCCACCAATTATATCCATTTGTATCACTTTTATTAAATCCAACATATATCAGAATGTTCATAGTCTTGAGACTTTACCCAACCCAGCCATGACGTGCACGCCCCAGGCCGGTGCTTCCGCCGGAAGCTGCGGCCACGCAGTTCCGCTTCCCCAGCCCCACCTGGGATGCGCGCTTAGGGTGCCCTGCTGGGACTTACGCCGACGGTGTGCTCCAGGTACCCACGCAGTGCACGCCCTGTCCCGAGGGGAGGCGGACAAGTGGGAAGCGGCGAAGCGGAATCGGATGGGTTAACTTCATGGTTGGATCTATGGTGAAAGGGTTGACAATCCAAAAATGGATAAAAATGGTGGGTTATGCATGGGGATACATGGGGATTTTATTCATCTTATGGCATATCATATCATTCTAGAATAATGCAACACTACTTGTATGTACTCGTAACATATATGCATTGGTTTTAGTTAACACCAGGGGAATCCAGGGGATACGATCAAACATGGTGATGTACAGTGGGATATAATTCGTATTTGTATATGCATATGTATATATATATACAGATACATTTAGCCTGTGGTTATGAGAAGTAGGAGGAATTAAGGAACCGTAAACGGATAGGACATGAATGATGACATGACCTACCAAAACGTGTATTACATGTGTATATATATATATTTGTGTGTGTGTATATATCGCCACCAAAGACTGGCACATATCATTCAAGTGGTGTTAATGGATTTTTAAATGTCCATTCTACCCTGAGGTTTCATGATTCCAAACCTCACAAATCGAACAACAGAAACCGCCAATCAACGACAGACAACCTCGATCTAGGGGAATCATGCATGTTTGATGAGGTTTCCAGATATGTACATGTGAATGCTGACCAAAATTTGTGACATGTACAGCAATTAGTTACATGCAATTACATTCTACATCATTCTACTTCTACTACACACTCTCTCTCTCTATTATATATATATTTAAATATGTATAACGTTTGAACGTCTTAAGAGCACGAGGCACGAGGCATGTTTTTTTGTTTTGAGTGACATGACATCCCAATCCCAATGAGTTTCTCAGCGTCTGCGACAGGGCACGTTCCGTGCCAAGCCCTGGGTTGAACTTCACCCAATGCGACATATGTCCCATGGGCTTCGGCACGCTGCCGGCGCAGACGGGCCTGCTGGAGTGTCCCGCCTGTCCGGCCGGACGGTATCAAAACGGCGACTCCGATCGAGGCAGGAGCATGGTGGACCTACAAGTAGTTAGAAGCGAACTATGAAGTTTATCATGTTTTCAATCTGATCAACACCCAGTCGAGTTTTCAATAATTATCTAGTTTATCAGTGTATCACTAATTAGAGAGAGAGAGAGAAAGAGAGAGACTGGGAATCCAACTGATTATATAACTGTTTAATGACCAGAGTTAAATTTGATCCAGGTTTGATCCTCCTCTAGGGTCAAAAGGATTCAACATGTTTCAGCCGTGTTTAATGATCTTAAGTTTGGGTCCATCCTGCTGGGCATGATGATCCCAGTTCTTGGTGGAGGATGTGTTGAAAACACCAATCAGTTTGTTGAAAACACGCTCCCAGAGAATCTGACCATTTTTTTCTGCTAAATGTTGAGATGGTCCCATGACATTCCATAGTGACAAGTGGATAGTGGTTCATAGCCATAGTTACCATAGTTGACCTTACTTGTGGCGGTTGCAGCCACACGTGCAAAACGTGTTGGTGAGATGTCGCGGGCACGCTTTTTGATCATTTAACACGGAATTCGAAAATTGCCAATCTATAGATGTGTTATCATGTTATCTAAGGATTTTCCATTGCTATCTGGAATTTCCGCGGTGTAGCTTTTGGGGATTCACTGGGCTGCAGCAGCGCTCTCAACAAAGCAAAGACCCGCTGTTGCTGAGAGGAGCCCCTCAGTGATAACGAAAACCCCGGATTAACTGGTTGTCTAATTGGGGGTTCCAATTCAGTTCATGAATTCACGCTTTTTGTGGTGCTCCACCTGATCAATCATCCAGTTTGTTTGTGCATGTAATATTTTCAAAGCTGGCCTTTTGGCTTTGATCAAGTGTAGTATCTGTACAGTTAACACAGACCAAACCAACCTGCGGTGGGTATCAACTGAACTTCCTACTGCAGGCTTCTTTTGTCCAAACAAAACAGGTGTTTCGCTGCTCCGCAATTATGAGCCCAAACCGTACCTCGCTTTGCTGAAACATGGCGCATCGCCGTGGGAGAAGCGAACCTGGACATCGAGAAGGCCACCTCTACATGAATGGGGATGATCAGGTGAACCCTTTCTGGTCTCGTACAAGATGCAGCTGTGGTGGATGGGCTGAGACCGATTGCCGCAGATTCGGGAACAGCTGTTCCTGCTGATGAATGGGATCAAGGAGATGAAACACCAAGACCAGCGCAAGGACTTCTTGGGGCGATGGGCAGCGGTGGAGGAATGGTTAGAAGTCGAGGCACAATGCCAATTCAAATGGCATTTGAAACACCTAGCAGCCAGCAGCTGGAATCCACAAACTCCAAGACCACAGGGCACCCAGGTGTTCAGGATGAATGAGGAGGCAACCAACTTCAACCTCTTCGACTTGGATGGGGACCTAGCGCATCAATCTTCTTGTGCAGGAATTCCTCAAGTAGATCTTCTCGGCCCTCTTGGTGTTGAAGGACATCGAGGGAAAGGTCAAGGGGGAAACGATCAAAGAGAACGACATGGTGATGCGCTTCGTTCTCAAGGACCTCTACGGCAAGACCATGTAGAAAGGGGTGGTAATGCCGCTGGACAAAGCCAACGTTCTCTCGATCTCCTAGGTGATGCTCTTCGAGGTTCACATGGCGATGCAACTCTGCAACGAGGGCAGGGACAACGAATCCATCAAAGGAGTCCTGAAAACCTTCAACTTGTGGGCAATCGCCAAGGTAATGACAGAGATCCTCGTGGACTTTCGGCAGATCATGAACGAAAAATCGAAGCCGACCAAGAGGTGAAGACCGTCTTCAACGACAAGGTCAAGATCATCTGCTGGGGAAAGAAAACCATGCAGAGACAGAAAAGGTCCAGTCAAAGGATCGAGAAGGCCCAACGTTGGAGCAAGATTTGAGCTCACTGTTTGTGCAACAGTTGATGCATGAGAATGAGGAGCTCAGAAAAAGGTTGGATGCAATGAGCCAATCCCAGCAACCCCCTCGTGCACAACAAGTTCAACAAGTTCAACAACATCAAGATAATTTGGACACTTCAAATTGGGAGTCTGTGCCTTCAAGAACGGCTCCGACAGCGTCAACGAACCGCCAGACAAAAGACGTGAACAAAGTCACTCCCTGATGGACCACCGCCAATCGAAACGGTGGAGACGGATCCAATGCCACCGCCTCTGTCTCCGTTGCTACCCACGCCTTTGGGAGACTACGAGGTGTACAACGAGGCGGTGGTCAACAAATGGCTGGGACCTCAATCAGTTCATGTGGGTTCTAAGCAGGATGATGGTGATCTACATGGCGTCTGGCACAGCAGAAGAGATGGAGTTCAACAAGTACCAGATCCCGATGCGGAAAGAGTACAATGACTTGAGCAAGAACTCAAGGATCTCCGTGAACCCTTGGGACCTCCGAATGCTGATTTATCCATGGCTCAATCGAATCTCCGTCAAGCCGGCAATGGCATCAACACGAGGGACTGGGTCCAGGTCAACAGTGGAAATTTTCATCTTCATCAACAAGGGCAACCCATGTCTGGAAACCAACTTGGAGGTGGACACCCATTTCAACCTGGAGACCAACGTGGTGGACTTCATGGGGGGGCGGGACAACCACAACAAGGAGGCCAGTTTGGAGATCAACAATATCGTGGTCAACATCATGGAGGCGGAAACTTTGTACCAGGGAATTTCCTGGGTGGAGGAGTTCAAGATGACCGGACTAGTGAAGAAGAGCTCAAACCGGTGACCATCACTCTTCCCAAACTTCCTGACTTGGGAGGCAAAAACCGAGGGCTCGAAGCTGGCGACTGGATGGCACAGATCAGACTTCAGATTGCCGATGTGAGACATCGTGCGATGTGGTGGTGGGATACTTTGGTGACAATGACCACCCAGCGATATGAACAATGGTTGGGAAGGGACCCCATCACTCGCCTCAACGTGCAACCTCCTACGGTGGCCGACTTGCCCCAGGGATTTACAAGTTTGGAACAAAGGGTGACTTCACTGCTTACGCAGGCGATCCCAAAGAGCTCGGCCACCGAGATGATTGCAAATCGACAACTGGGTGCCGCTCAGATCATCTTCAAAGTGATGAAAGTGTATCAGGCAGGTGGCTTGGACAACAACCCAACCAGGGGGGACGTACCTTGAAGCTTCTACATCATTGAGGATGTGGCAACGACACTACTCTCGCGCTGAAGAGTTGGGTGCGACGGTGCCAGACCCTACCTTGATGGTAGGAGCGCTAGATAAAATAATGCGCAAACTTCTTCAGGGGAATCAGCAAGCAAATTTTCGCTCGAGCGCGTTCCGCATGGGGGCTGCCAACTGCTGCCACGGTCAAACAAATACATCAAATGCTACTAGCAGAAGTTGAACTTGCACTAGGCAGCACTGACGTCTCAGGAAAGCTTCAAGGTGGACTTGCAGTGAAAGCCTTGCAGGCCCCAGAAAGCTGGGACACCAGTACAACCAACCTGCCGCTTCTGGAAGCCCGACAAGAAGCTCAATGTAAGTTCCAGCATCCAGCTCATGACGATGGCAAATACCACTGCTACACCTGTGGAGCAACCTCTCACAAAATACCGGACTGCCCATACAACTCTCCGACCAAGGAGGACCAAGGCCCAACTGCGACTGTAGCTTCTAAGGGGTCTCCAGCCGGAGGGAGTGCGGTGATGGAAAAAGCACTGGAAAACAATGAACATGTATGTACGTATGTTATGTTAAGTTATGTTATGTTATGTATTCTATGTATGTTGTGTATGTAATATAGCGTAATGTAATGTAAAGTAATGTAATGTAATGTGATGTGATGTGATGTAATGTGTGTGTATGTATGTATGTATGTATGTATGTAACTATGTATGTAACTATGTATGTAACTATGTATGTATGTAATGTAATGTAATGTAATGTAATGTAATGTAATGTAATGTAATGTAATGTATGTGTGTATGTATGCATGCATGGATGTATGTAATGTATGTATGTATGTAATGTAATGTAACGTAACGTAACGTAATGTAATCTAATGTAATGTATGTATGTATTTATGCATGGTATGTATTTAGTGTAGTGCAATGTGATGCAGTGTAATGTAACGTAACATAACGCTATGTCATGTAATGTATCTACGTATTGTATGTATGTAATGTATGTTCGTCATGTTTGTAGTAATGCAATGTAATGTAGTGCAATGCAATGTAATGTATGCAACGCAATGCAAATGCAATGCAAATGCAATGCAACGCAATGCAACGCAATGCACTGTAATGTAATCTTAGTAAGTATGTATGAATGTATGTATGTATGTATGTATGTAGTATGTATTTGTTTCATGTATTTTTATGTATGTATATGTGTGTGTATGTATATGTATGTATTTGTATGTACGTGTATGTATTTGAATGTATGTATGTATGTATGTATGTATGTGTCAATGTGTGTTAATGTGTATTAATGCAATGTAATGTAATGTAACGTAATGTAACGTAGTGTAATTTAGTGTAATGTATTGTATATATTTATTTGTATCACACACATAATTATATTTTTTTTAACCTTGATATCTGATATATGTCATAGTTGATGGTCATAACTAAGAGGGCACGACTTCAATCACCTCCCAGCAGCGTCTCCGGAGGTGTGTGCAACCAATGCCCCGTGGGCACGTCCCGCAGAGCCAACACCAGCGGCGGATGCAGCCTCTGTGCTGCGCAAAGCTATGCAGATGTCACCGGCTTGGACGAGTGCAAACCATGCCCTTCCCAAAGCTCCCAGGCACGTGAGGTATGTTTCCAACGGATGGTGAAATCACGAAATTTCGAGAAATGAGGATTTCATGGGATTTAATAGGGTTTAGTAGGTTGACCCTCCAGTAAACTAAGATAGCGAGCCTAAAAATCTGGATCTTAATAGGTAAGTCATCGAACTAAATAGGCAAATGCCCACTGGAGGGTAACACGGATTTAGCCACCTCTTCTAGATCTTAACCATCAAAACTATGAGGATGCTAAATCATATGGTTGGTTGATGATTAGTGTGGGGGTTTAGTAAGACTAGCCTTTCTATATTGGGGATTGCCAGAATTCATAAGCTGTGCCCGTTCTTAAGGAACCAGAATTTCAAGCACTGACCTGGGGTCCTTTAGAGGAGAAAGAGAAGCGATAGCATCCACTGGAATGATGGGATGTGGATTGGAGCAGCTTATCCCAAAATGGTATCAGCTTAGTCTAGTTAAGTGGATTTGGACTGGAGAAACTAATTTTTGATTGCAGTTTAGTGATGATTTACTGCATCTGATCTATAATGAGATCATGGGTACTTCGATGTTGTGCAAGGTATGATTCGTTCATGGTACGGTGGGGTGGAGTGGGTTGGGGCTAATCTTTGGCACCACTTGCACACCAACATGATGCTACGTTAGAGATCGGGTGGGGTGGGGCTAATAACGTTCCTTGGCCTTTGCACACCTACATGATGCTACGTTAGAGATGGGGTGGGGTGGGGTCGGATGGGGCTAATAACGTTCCTTGGCGCTTGCACACCTACATGATGCTACGTTAGAGATGCGTGGGGTGGGGTGGGATGTTGTTACGTTGATGTTACATTGATAGAATATGTAGTGGCGCTTGCACATACAAAAAAAAAATCTCGAACAAATGGAAGCCAATCGTTTTTGCCCAAAAAGACAAATGCCATGGAGGAACCAGCGAAAATCGTTGGAAGTGGGCGCGAAACTTCCAGTGGAGGCAAAATGCTTCCATCACAAGTTCCATCTTGGAAGAACTTCCCACATGCTTGTGGCAGAGTTGAGAAAAGATTCTTCTAAGCCGTTTGGGCATGGGATTTCTTGGATCAACAGGCATTTCCATTTTTTCCCTGGCGTGGTAACAAAATAATCGTTTCGCCTGCACAAAACACAATTTTTGTTCATTTTGAATTGGCCCGCGCAGTACAAAATGATACTCCCTAAATGCCTCCCAAAGATGAAAAATGTAAAACACACTGGGTTTTCAGCATTTCACCTTGAGAACGAAGAAAAGAATGTCGACAGTTGCAGGGCGGCGAGTCAGCCGATTTCCCTGTTTTTACACCATATGTTCTTGACTTTTCTCCAGAAGACGGAAGTGTATCTGATAGGGTCTATGCATTCAAATGTGCAATCAGGTACTTGACGTGAACCTGAAGCATCTGGAGCTACAATTATTGTAATTTGGATTATATAGTATATATATATATATGCGGGTGTTTCTCCAAGAAGTACGGAACCTTAAAGGCTAAAAATGCACAGATCCATTCCTTTGGAAAAATCCTTAGGTGATTCAGATGAAGGTCAAATACCAGAGACAAACTGGAACAGGACCGATGACGTAAATGGTCAAGAAGACTGATGATGGCAAGTTCCTTTTCATCGGGTTCATAGATGTTTATATATTTTTATATCATACAATGATATGTATACACATCTTTATATATGTATGTCATTCTGAGTGTATATGCGTCTATATTCTAATTTACATATATTACCGAAAAAAGTTTAGTCAAACTTCCGACAATATGGACAGATGAAAAGCAGAGATGGGAAGAGTCAGCGAAGAGAAGAGAAGAAGAAATAAGATCAAAAAAGAGAAAGTTTCAGAAGAAAGAAGATCCAGGTGCGCGAAAAGGTAGGAAAGTCGCGAAACACTGTGTTTTTTCCAATGATTTGTGGCTCCGGAAGGTCGAAAAGTGGGCTCGCTAAAGCGGCGGGTGCGGAGCCACCTGGCCAGATGAGAGATGAAAAATTGCACGCCGTTGTGGCGCGAAGATGCGCGAAGCACATTTCAAAGTCAAAATGTACAAAGCACACCAGCTCCGGAGCACTTTTGGAAGTTGAGATATCGAAAAAGTGCACGCCGTTGTGGCGCGAAGCACATTTCCAAGTCAACATGTACAAAGCACACCAGGTTCGGACCACTTTTAGAAGTTGAGATGATGAAAAAGTGCACGCCGTTGTGGCGAGAAGCACAGTTCGAAGTCAAAATGTTCAAAACACCTCAGTTTCGGACCACTTTTGGAAGTTGAGATGTCGAAAAAGTGCATGCCGTTGCGCATTTCGATGTCAAAATGTGAAAAGCACCACATGCTTGGACCACTTTTGGACGTTCCGATGTCGTTTTGCATGGCAGGCAGGCGCACGGGATTGTGCACCTTTACAAAAGTGAGCAAAACGTGAGGGTTTTGTAGCATTTCCAAAAACGATGGCAGGCGTGGGACATTTGAAGAGGATCTGCAAAGATGCATGTTCCGTGGCAGGCGCAGTACAAGAGACATGTTCATCAGAGCTGTTAGGAAGTCCGGGCGCTGATTTCCTGATAGGGGTTGCATTTTGGAGCATCAGATCTTCAGGTTTGCTGAGATGATTTTGCGTGACAGGTGCAGCACTTCGTATGACCTGGCATCACTTGTTCGTGGCAGGCGCAGTACTTTAGACAGGTTGACTGGAAAAATCGCAAAATGCATTGGTAGGAGGCCGTCAGCTCTGCACTCAGTTTTTGATGTTGTCAACTTCAAAAAATGATGAAGTCTCTCGCAGAATTGTTTCGTTTTTGATGTTGTCAACTTAAAAAAATGAGGAAGTCTTGCAGAATTGTTTCGTTTTTGATGTTGTCAAGTGCAAAAATTGATGCAGTTTCGCTGAATACACTACATTACACTAGTTGCATCTAATTACACTACACGACACCAATTACACTAACAACTACAACAACTACTACCACAACTACAACTACAATTACAGCTACACTACACTACACTAACTACACTGCAGCGCGCTACAGCTACAACCCACCTGCAACTACAACCACACTACATTACACAACACTACGCTACACTGATTAGATTGCATTGCGCTATATTGCGCTACAACTGCAACTGCAGCTGCAACTACAACTACAACTACCACTACATTACACTACACTACATTATACTATACTACAGCACTACACGCACTAATTGCTCTTCACTACACTACAACTACACCTACACCACCTTACGCTAGACTACGCTACACTATAGCACACGACACTACGCAACACTACACGACGTTACACTGCACTACACTACACTACACTACACTAATTACACCACACCACGGCTACAACTGCAACTGCGCTTGCAACTACACTAGTTACACTACATTACAATTACAGCTCCACTACATTGCACTACACTACAACTACAGCTACAACTGCAACTACAACTGCAACATACTGGAACTACAATTGCAACTGCACTACACCTCACTACATTCAGCAGTTGTGGTAAGGTGACCACTGCAACCATTGCAACCACTTAAAAAAACACAACTCCAACCACCTGTCGGTCCATCAGCGGATTCGCTCTGCCATCTGTGATTCACAACAACCAACCTCTCCTATAGGTTTATTTTTGAAATTTTTGCCACCGCATAGCGGTACTACTGGTGTATATATATATAGATAATTATATATATAATATAGTATCATTTATATAATAGAATATAACATAATATAATATAATATCATGTAATATCATATCATATAGTATAATTTCATTTCATATAATTTAATTTCATATAATATAATATAATATGATTTAATAATAATAATATAATATAATTAATATAATTTAATTTCATATAATATAATATGATTTAATAAAATAATAATAATAATATAATTTAATTTCATATAATTTAATTTCATATAACATAATATAATATAATATAATAATATAATAATATTATAATAATATAAGAATATAATAATAATATAACATAATAATAATATAACATAATAATATAATAATTTATTTATATATTTTATGTTTAATAATATATATATATACATATATATATACATAGATGTACACACATATTTAAGTCATGGGTGAAGTAACTGGGGCCACGACAACCACTTACGATTGTTGGGATGCTCCTCCAAGTAACCCAGTTGCAACAACTTCGCTCGGCTCAGGGCGATCTGGGTCAAACCTTCTGCTTCTGCGACGTAGGAAACTACAAAGATCCGTCGGATAGCATCCCTGTGGGCACGGTGCTACCATGCCTCGCCTGTGAGAGCGTGATTCCGGGCAGCACCACCTTGTACCCCAACTCGCGCTACAGCCATGAATGCGTCTGCCCCACAGGACGCTTGGAGATGAATATTTTTTGGTCATGAGGGGTAGGGGCTGATAAAAAACATTGTGGAATCCACTAGTTTCAGGGGGTCAGGTCGCAGTTTGGGTTGTTTTCTGAAAGAAATAGGAAATTGGAAACCAATTTTTTTCCATCCTGGCTGTTTGCACATGGACAAACTCTGGAGCGCATGAGCAGCGGTCAAAGACATGTGGAACTAGGATGAACTGGGAATATTCAGGGACGGTCGCATGTTAGTTAAGATTCAGATCAAAGACTCGAGTGTCCAAGCATTTCCTAGTGAGTTTGACCAATTTCCGGCATAACAAAACAAATTGGAATTGAAGTCACATGACACTTAAGAGTCCCTCAAGAAACAACCATCATTTTGCTGAGAATTTTTTGTTTTGCCACCCCATTGATCAATGAATGGTCAGCTGGCTTGGGCCGAGAGTATCACGACGGAGGTCCTCGAGGATTTCAGCGGGCTCCACCAGCCAACGATTCCCAAGCAGAGGCCAATCTTCTGTCTAGAATTATAGTGGCCTCACAGCGTCCTCACCATAAACTATGATTCATGAGGGGAATGAATAAGCACCTAACATAGCCCAAAACTTGCCTTTTTGTGCCTTTTTCTGGTTTGGAAATTCCATAGTAGACAATCATCAATTTATCACTCATTATCGAGTTCCTACATTTTCCTTTGAAAGAAAATCATGAAACAAATGCAATTTTTGCAGGGAAACACAGAAACATAAATCCCTGGCTTTTCAAAAAACTCAGAGCCCATGGATCTTGAGCCCCTCTTGGCCTTTTTTTTTGGCTCCGCTAGGAACGTATTTTCACCGCTTCAGCGCCAGCAGCGATGCGGGGCACTGCGAGTCCTGCGGCCTTGGCCTGGTCTGTTTGGGCGGCCGGGAGGGGTCGAGCACCAACAGTAGCGCGCCGCACCAGGCAGGGGAGCGGCAGCATTCAATGGCTGACCTTGGATAGGGGTAACCCCAAACTAATGGAAACTTCATAAAATATCATGAAATGTCATAGTTTTAAGTGTGTTTAAGACGTTTGAAGAATTTCGACAGGTTCAACGATGGAGATATTACTCAGTAGAAGTGAGGACATATCACCAGACGGAGATACAACGATAGAATATGATGTGAGATGGTGACACACCTCAGGAGTAGAGAAGGAGATCTAGTGATACATGGTTGGTGCTGTCAGGTACTCTTAATCTTCTATCTTCTTTCGGATAATTATATATCCCCATTAACTGTAAATTTTCAAGGGTCCATTTTAACTGGTTAGTCCCTGTGTTTTCGTGCTACCGGTATATGGGATCTTGGATAGCCCTCATGCTGACCAGTTGGCCATTGATTTCAGCAGGAGTGCTGTGACCCCAAAAAGTTTATCAGGTGGGCGCATGCTGTCAAAAGAACCTGTATCCTATATTTACTATAAAGATATTATACACCTGTAATTTATGGAACGTTCACCTTCGCAAAGCAGGAATTCATGGGGATGTGAATTCCCACCTGGATTTGCCATCCTCAGAGCCACTGCTACCCAGGGCTTCTTGCAAACGTTTACATAGTGGAGAACCCGCCAGTGATCATTTTTCAAACGGGAACCCAATGGAACCCATGGTTTTTTCCACATCTTCTTGGAGCAGTTTACCCCAAGGTAATTTAGGTGTTTGACCTCCACAACTGCCTCATTTGTCCCGGTTTCCCTTGATCTCAGGCCCCCTTGCAGCAAGAGGGCTATGCAGCCGGTGCTCCGGCCTATTCGGGTGGCAGCCCATCGTTCATAGTGGAGTGCAGTAGCAGCCTCACCTGCCCGGGAGGGTTGGCCCTGGGCGCCTGTCCCGGGAGCAACTCGGGCATGGCCTGTGTGGATTGCCTTCCAGATCACTACCAGGACGGGAGTGAAAACTCCAGGAGTGGGGTAGGTTAGTTCACCCCAGTTATAAGTGAACTAATTATTCTACTTACCCTACTGTACCAAGTGGGGTGAATTGCCAAGTGCTGGTGGGACAATAGAATGGTCAGAAGGTGAGAAGATGTGAATGGGAGCGGCCCTGTGATCATGTTGAAAGGCAGCTGGGCACCATTGCCGCTGGAATTGAGCGAAGGGTGGGATGCACTTCCTCGAAGCACTACTGGAAGCTGCAGCCCAACTTAAATGTGTCAATCTACAAACGTTGAGTAGTGCCCATGGCTGTACGTGGGCAAGATATGTCAGCCAACAGAAATCGGACGGCGTTTGTGCTTCAAACTCCCTATAGAGTTTTGACATGTTTTCGGGACTCACAGGTGTTTACGAAAATCTGAAACCTTTTCTTCATTGAACAGAATGAACATATTATAGAAAAGTGTTTGGGGTTGAACATGGAACGCATTTGGACCTTTGACATGTTTTGACCTCTCCGGCTCTGATCTTCAACACGTTTGTCAACAGGACAGGGGTTGGTAAATGTCAAATGTTGATACATTTTAAGGATCTTGAACATCACCTTACATTATTTGTTGTACAGTTATATCATGTTATATCCCCAATAGTCGAGTGATGTTCAACCAGGACATCTACCCCCCAGGAGAATGGACTTTGCTACTCCTGTGCTGAAGCGGGCTTTGCTCTATGGCCTTTGATCATTGCCTTTGTACCTTGACGGTGGCATACAGTGGCCAAGGGCGGGGTTACCGCTTCCGCCCTTAATCAAGTGGGGATGGGTCAACTATGGAATTGCCAAATTTTTGGGGAATAAACATCCATTCACCGTACCTAGGGTGTTTTGTTGGCTGCCAAGTCCCAGCTCAATTTCGCTTCAGAAACTAGGGAGATGCCAGAAAACGTGAGAATTCTACTTGATTCTACTAACACATGGCATCTCCCTCGTGATACTCAAGTCGCTCACGGATCATCTCAATGTGATGGAGCTGAATCCTCCCACAGGTTAGGTGGGGAGAAATGTTGCAAGGATTGCAAGGTGTTCATCCTTTTTTCGCGCCATTCCAGCACAGAAAAGTTGCTTGGATAGCCACAACATGGCTAATTAATGACCATAATGATATAACCGAGTAACAATCAATTTATAGATATAGCGCATATCCGCACAAATATCCACACGATTCCTCACTTCCAATCATTGCACCTCAAAGTATGATTGTTGCTTATCCTCGATGCAACTTTGTCTTGATGTTCATCCTTTTGTTGTCGACTTTGGATGCCTCTGGTGTGTCATGTGGAGAATGTTTCTGGGCAAACTATATACAAGACTAAACAACACGGTAAATGGCGGTTAGTAGGGAGGACTAGCCTGACTAGCCAGTTTGCAACTTTTAACCCAGAAATCAGTGGTCCTTTTACTTGCATAGAAAAAGATGGATGAAACAAAACACTATAGACCTCAGAGACCTTGGCAAAAAAAAAGCTCTGGTAATCATAGCAATGGGCGATATTTGTGTCTTGTGAAAACCGGATGTAGAAATGGACCGAATGGAGGGTTCTCACTTGCCATTTGCAAATGGTACCTCTCCATAGGGAAATCATGGGAACTCTAGTTAGTTTATGCAAGGTGATATCCACCCTGTCCTAAACCTTAGCATATTCACTTCGAGGCTTCCTCCAAAAATGACCAGTCGCAACCCCAAAATATTCAGCATATGCATATAATATCATATGTGAAGATTGCGGTGCAAGGCCCACGAAGTCCCCACCAATCCAATGCCTGCAAAGGCCGCGGCGCCTTTTCAAGAGGCGTCGCCAAGCGTAGTCAGCTATGGCACATACGTCCCGCCACTGAAGGTGAAATAGCAGCGGAAATTGGCATATGAAAAGGGTAAATCTGAAGGATGCGGATGCAAACTTGACATGGGGAAAAGTCATTCATTGAAAGAGGGTCCGTTTCGGACTGCTGTGATCCTTTGGATCAAAGGTACAAAAGTAAAGGAAAATGGCGTCACACGCCAGAACTGCTCATAGCTCGCGCTTGCGATGCCAGTCGGGCCTCTTCATCTGGAACTCCGGCAGCGCGAAGGCGAGCTTCATCATCCAGAATCGCTGAAGCTTCGGCCAGCACTTCGGGATCTTCATCAGCAAGCCCATTCGCCATGAAGTTGTCCATGTCTTGGGCCAGCGTGGTGTTGTTCATGTCATGGATGTACGGGGTCACATAGAAGCTTGCGCAGTTGTCGCAGGCATGCAACTCAATGACTGCACTGCGGTAGAGCTGATAGCATTGATCGTCCAGATGCCATACGCGTCCACGAGGCGCATGATAGATGGGCCGGCCAACCGTGCATCTGTTATGCACATGATTGTGGATTTCAGCTCGGGCACGGCCTACAACATCTTTCGCTTCTTGGAAGATGGCTCTCAAGCGACCAATCTGTCGCACGTAACCCATTTTGTGCCGGTTCATCTGGCGGCACTGTTGATCCTTCTGCCAAAAACTGGCTTCAAGGCTCTTGAGCTGTTGCTGCAAGCGTCGGACTTCTCGATCTGCAATGATCGGTCCACCAGGAACAGTCAGCTGTTGGACCTGTCGGGTCAGCTCCTCGATCTGGTCCTGCAGGGCGATGTTCTCCACCACTTTCTCATCCAAGCGGGCAGACAGGCGATCGCTTCGGATGTGCCTTTGTCTCAAAACGTGATTTCTTCCAATCCACCATCCATGTACCCATCCGGTGAGGTAGGTACCCACCACAAAGACCACCAAGGTCAGCACCACAACGGCATCCCAGAAGTAGTCCCAGTAGGAAGCCTTCGGCTCCTGGATGACGTCGACATAGGGGCATGTGTCAGGTGTGATTGGATCGCTCAGAGGAGCAGCGGCAGCACCAAGTGGTTGCAGAAGTCCAAGCATGAAAATGCAAAGGGCAAAGCGCAGCAATGCTCGAAGAGAAAGGATCGTCCATACGCCCTCAAACTTTGTTTCCGGGTCGTAGGAAATGTCCATGATCGGGGTGTGCACAATCGGCAGGGTGTCGTTGAAGTTCAGGTCAATGGCTTGGTCAGGACGTAGCTCCAAGTGAGCTGCAACAGCCTTGCCAGACATCTCATCCCAGTCGTTCATCTCATAGTTGATCTCTTCGCCAAAGCAGGCAAAGGTTTCCACAGGGACGTCTTCAGTGGTTTCAGGTTCTTCCACCACTGTGGCAAGAGGCTGCGAGAACTCATCTCTGCTGGCATTGCGGTCGGAGAGCTTCTTGCGCTTGGCCGCGATGTAGTCAGGATCCCAAGACAGCTTGATCCTTCCGTAGCGAAGGCGGTCTGCCAGCAATTGGCGAGTGCCCTCTTTGGTCAGGGAATCTGCATACTGTCTCTCACTGGAGATCCACTTCAAGCGGCCACCAAGCGATTCCAGCCCTTCTCGCAAGACCTTGATCTCCAAGCCAGTGCGCTTGTCTGTCAAGCCACTGCTGAGGCTCTCTCTGTAGTAGCTGTCGTAGAGGGCTTTGGCGTCTGTGACAAGCGTAGGCTCCAAAGGGCTCGGCTTGTGCAAGATGTTGGCAAGTGGCTCGTTCGGCTCCAAAAGGTGTTGGTAGAAGCGGCAAACAAAGTCCATGTTGTCGCAGGCCTGACTTGCTGATTGGGCTTCGGCTCCAAGACTCGAGCGGGCAACTCGTGGCAACTTCGATGAGCGCCAGTCAATGATATGGTAGGCTCCTTCGGTGCCATCAAAGACGTCTTTGGAGACCAGCATGGTCAGGTAGCCACCTTGTGAGGAACCGTCACGTCGAATGCCAAATGCTGCATCGACCATCGTGACAAGTCGTAGATCTTGCACATCACAGATGCGTTCGTAGCAAAGTGCTACGTCAGCGTTGAGCTTGGCAAACTTGAGCAAGCGATTGGCATCGTGGATTGATTTGACCAGTCCTGCAGAGACTTGTCCAGCCAAAAGAGATGTAGAGCACTGCAAGTGCGGTTGTGATTGCACAGCGGGCCATTGTAAGGACCCAAGCAAGCCTCGCATCTGGGTGACCTCAGACGGTGTCATGTAGTCCTCAGGACCTCGATCACGTTGAAGTGAGATGGGCTTCACCTTGCGCAGATACTCTGCGTGATCCACTTTCCATCCACCAGTCGGGGTCTTTTGAAGGCTTGCGCCACAGTACTCCAGCTTGTCCTGGTCCTTCCATTCGCGGAAGTTGAAGATCTGTCGAAGCTGCTTGACAACGTGTTGATATACCAAAGATTCTTCAAGTCCACCTCCAAGCATATCATCCACGTGAATGCAAACCATGCCAACGATCCGTTCGGATCCCAAACACTTGCTAGGGTCGGAGGCTTGAATGTCGGGGAAGTCAGCCTCGCAGATGAGGAAGCAGCAAGGATCCAGCATATGAGGGCGCAGCCCAATTGATGTCAATCTCCTTGAAGCTTCGAGAAACCATCGTCTCGGTGCATCGATCTGCCCATAACAAGGTTTGCGCAGCAGCATTCGGGTCGTCTCATCAGCACCCAAGATGTTGAGAACTTCTCGGGGTAGCTTGACCCATAGTTGTCGTTCTTGAGGAAGGCCTTGTAAGAATGCTGTTGCAACGTCGGCTGTCCATCCACACCACAGGATTGAAGACAAAGACAGAAACATAGAGCGGCTCAGGCGGCTTGTGGTGGGAGCTGAAGTTTCCACCTTTCCTTCAAGCGCGTCCTGATCGTTGTAGCCGCGGACCACCAATCGAGCCTTAGCCCGCGGACTTCCGTCCGGATTCTTGCTCCACTTGAGCAGCATGCGTGAGGTCAAGGTGCGTTGCGGGTCAGCATCCCGAACGCTGGAAAACTCCCAGACTCCATTCTCGAAGAAACTGCGAAGCTCCTTGATCTTGGCCTGCATGAACTGCTCGCGCTCGTGCACGGTGAGTCCACGCTCATTGAGCTCAGAGGAGGCTTTCTTCTTGATGGCCGCATGTTTCTCTTGTCGTGCAACCCTCTTTGCGGGAGTGGTGGCATACATGGCAAGCTCCTTTCTCACAGCCCCTGTCAGTTGGTACACAGTGAGTCCAGTCCAGGCGGCCTTGTTGGGCGCAACCACCGTGTCAAAGCGGTCAGTGGAGACCTGGATGGTGCCATTGGGTGCACGCATCATCGTGACACGAACTGGGTCCAACTGCTTCAAGTCAAAGGGACAGTCCTTCTCTTTGGTGATGTCGTGACGGCGATGTCTGGGCTGCAGGTGATGTCGAATCAGGCAACCAGCTTTGATCTCCCAGTAGTCGTGGAAGTTGTGGGCATCGAGCTGGAAGTAGCCATGCTCATCGATGCTCCATCCTTTGGGAAGATCACCACCACCAATGTCATCGACTGCAAAAGCTTGACCAAAGAGCTCTGAAGCAGGCTGTGGATCTGCAGGAGGTGCTTGTTGTGGATAGGGTTCATGGCGTCCTGCACCACGTCGCATGGGACCGAAGGGAGTGAACTGCATCGTCTCATGTTGGTCCATCCTCAGCCGTCTTGTTCTGAAGTCTTCTTGGGCAGGCTCGTAGAGCGCAGAGGATGTGGATGTCAGTCCAAAAGGGTCAGGTGCAGGCGCAGATGCATCATCAGGTGTTGGAGGTAGTGTTGGAAGTGTAGCAGGTTCTTGGCCTGGCTCATCTTCATCGACGTTGATCGGCACAACGTTGTCGCCTTGTGGAACTTGGTCTGGAGGTGGTAGAGCTGGGACAG